GGAGCAGCCATCTCTGCCGGCCCGCTGCAGGCTGACACCATGCTAGGTGATGGCATTGCCGCAGCATCTGCCTTGCCCTGCAGCCCTGCCTGTGAGCTCACACACAGGCAGAGCCTGTCGAGGGGCTACAACACCTGGCACGGACCCCTGGGTCTCCCCTGCACAGCAGGACCACCAGACGCCCAAGCTTCGCTGCGGTCGTGCCAATAGGTAGTGCCTATAGGTATGCAAAGGGAACAAGCCTGGGACACACTGATGGATGTATCCACCCCCTCCCCTCCAAACCTGGGGACAACACACAGCATCTCCAGCTGCACAAAGCACCGGACGCAGGTTGCATGGCTCCCGTACCCCCAACACCCTGCTGCCTGCCCCGGCCGCATAGGGGCTGCCCGGGTCTGGCCTTCACTGCCGCCGCTGCTCTACTCCTACCCCAGCATCACCCTCAGCTCTGGCATGCCCAGCGATGCAGCCCTTCCCCTCAAGCATGGGGGCTTGAGCTGAGGGCACAAGGTAAACTCTGTCAAGGAGAGCTGGAGCTCAGCACAGCTCCAAGGGATTTGGCTGCCTGCCCCGGCCGCATAGGGGCTGCCAGGGTCTGGCCTTCACTGCCGCCGCTGCTCTACTCCTACCCCAGCATCACCCTCAGCTCTGGCATGCCCAGCGATGCAGCCCTTCCCCTCAAGCATGGGGGCTTGAGCTGAGGGCACAAGGTAAACTCTGTCAAGGAGAGCTGGAGCTCAGCACAGCTCCAAGGGATTTGGCAGTGATTGCTCTTGGTCCACAGCTAATTGCAGAGGGGAGGTCTGCTCAGAGAAGATGTGAGATTACCTAAGATGTACCTCTGGGTCAGAGCCCCTGGAAGGAGTCCAGAGAGAAGACTCTCTCTTTCTGAGTCTCCCTGTTCATTCATTCCTCGCTCAGTCCAGACTCCTACAGCTCCCTCCTCATTCATTTCTCCCTCCTTTTCCCTCTTTGACATTAACTTTTCTGCCTCCAACCCGTATCGCATCTCGCTCTCACACACAGCTCTCCACCCTTGCCACATCCCTCTGTGAATTTATCCCATCTCACTCCTCCCAGCTTTATCCCAATGACTAGACCCACAGGTCAGGCACTAAATGCCCATTTTCCAGGCACCCAAGAGACTTCTGCGCTCTGCTCCCCAACCTACATTAGGGCTGGCAGTGTGAGCAGTGTGCCCATATTGTGGGCACGGCTTGGCAGCCCCTTAAATCAGATCAGGGCAGCATCCATCCCCAGGTGGGAATGTGGGCATTTAACCAGGCACTGGCTTTGATAGCCGATGCCAGCGGGAGAGAAGAGGAGGGAAAGGAGAGAGAAAAGGTCACAGGAATCAGAGCAAACCCATATCCTGCCCAAGTCCACGGTCTCAGCTCCATGGTGAGCTCCAGCCCGACCCTTCCTCAAGTGCTCTTTACCTGCATGCACAGACTCCAGGTTCACCATCCTGCTGGCGGAGGGAAATCCGCGGTGCGGCCAGCCTCCAGGTTGCCAGGGGCTGCCAGTTTGCCCTCCCTCCTCTGCCACCCGCTGCCTCTCAAACCAGGCGTGGGTCCGCTCCCGAAGGGACCTAGAGCTCCATTGCCTGTTGCCATGCAGGGCCAGGTGAGCATGCGGCGCCACGCCACGCCTCACCCCACCTCCGGCTCCCTCGGGTGCCCTGACACCCAGCAGCCTGGCGCCCGGCCCATGCAAACGCGGCCATTTGCATATTAGTAACTCGGGAATGGATGAGTCCCTGCAGCGCTACCAGGGCGTGGGGTGGGGTGGGAAGGAGGGAGGAAGGCAGGCGGTTCGCCCGCCCTCAGCTGCAGATGCACCCCACAGCACCTGCCTGCTGGGCTGCAAGCGGGGGGCTCTGCGGGGGCTCCACTGCCAACCCCAGGTCCGAGTTGTCCTGTCGTGGGTAGGCTTTTGGCTCTGCCCCTTGCAACGCGCAGGTGAGAGAGGCCAAGGCATTGAGCCAGGCTGGGCAGCCACCACCAGCACCCAGAAGGGAAGGCATCCAAGCTGTGGGAACAGCCCGTCCAGTAAGCAGTCCCTCCACTTCATTTCAGGCCACTCTGATAAACCCTGGGGTCTACTCAGAGGGAGCCATGAGAGGAGCCTGCGCAGTTGAGCCTTTGCATCCCCTAGGTCTGAGCTGAACCTGAATGATGCCATATGAAACAATCAGCACAAAAAGGAAAGGTAAGAGCAGAAAGGTAACCTAACTTGGCTAAAGACACAGGGCAGAGCTAAGATCAGCACATGGAGATTCCCCTTCCCTGACTTGTGCTCTGTGCGGTACATCAGTCCCCCAAGAAGAGGAGAGAAGTGGCAGACAGCCTCTTCGTCCTCCTCCATGTTGTTTCAAGCTGCAGTATTTAACCGACTTCCAGGGAAAATAATCCCCTAATGTTGGCTTCTTTGGTAGGAAACTGCCAGAGGCCAGATCCTCAGCCTACACTCTGTGCTGAGGCAGGGACCAACAGTCACCCTGATGGACCCAGGCACTGCAGTTGCTCCCTGTCCCTCCCATGCAGTACCCTGATGATCCCTACCACAGCCCGGGGTAGCAGGACGCCTGCGTTAAACACCTGAGCTCCAGCACTGCTCAAACCCCTCCTGAAAGTGTTAACACGCTCAATTGGTAGCTGCCAGGTACAAGCTATCACACATTCATCTCTCCCTGGCTAATTCACGTTCCAGGGTTCTTGGCTTTCCCACATACTGCTCTCTCTCCCTGGAAAGACAGGTTTCTCTGAAGAGATGGGTGGGCAGGCTCTTCGAGCCTCACCTCCAACCCAGTCCGACGTTATGGGGCTGGAGTGCCTGCCCTCAGCCTGTGTGGTCAGAGAGGACATCCTCAGGAGAGGGAACACATTGGGAGAAAAGGGCGGATGTGTTAAATAAAACTCTAACAGGGAAAAAGAGGAGGAAAGTGGGGAGAGAGATGGAAGGGGAACAGCAGGGAGGCGGGGAAGTTCCTGGGGCAGACTAACGTTTGCAGGACAGGGCGTGAGGGGAGATTTCTGCGGGCTGCGTTTAGCGCTGCTCCAGGAAGCAGAAAGGTGACACAGCAGAAAGCTCATTTCGAGCTGCTGGAGGGGCTGGACTCCTGCCACCGATGCCGAGCCTGTGGCAGAGCCCCAGTCATTCAAGCCCTGATCCTTGGGGCGTTCCTGGGCAGCTGCTGGTCTGTTTTCTAATGTCTTCAGCATGACCCCCACGTCTGGGTTTTCCCCATCTTGAAGACTGACGCGATCAGGTGTCTTTACTGCGTCAAACATAAATTTGCTGGTGGCTTCCAGCCAGCTTGAAGGGCTTCTAGGGAACAAGAGAAAGGCCTGGAAAGGCTGGGACCGCGAGAGCTCTCCTTCCCCCCACATCAGAGCACCTTTGGTACCCCAGTTAGCAGTTTCACTTGACATCGATCTTTTCTCCCTGCTTCCTGGTGCTTTTCCCTTGCTCTAGAGCCAAGCAGCCTGTCCCGGAGCCCCAGGGAGGCATGTCCTTCCCTCTGGCACCTCCAGCCGGCCGGAGCCGCGGGCATCCCGCGGCCGGGGATGCCGCCCCGGTCATCGGCAGGGCCGCAGTGCCCTCTCCTGGCCCCGCACACGCTGCAAATTACAGCCCGGGGTCCTCCAGCCGCCAGTCCGCTCTGCGGCTGGTGGGACCTGGTTTTCTGAGTATTATTTTGTAGTCAGCCGAACGGCAGGAAAAAAATAGTATTTCCGCCGAAATACTCCCCAGAGAGCTGTAGGAGCAAATCCCTTCACCCGGATACCCTTGGCTTCAGCGACGTGCCAGGCAGGCAAGAGAGAATACACCCTCCTTATCAGGCTGCCTGGAACACCTCTGCTACTCAGAGAGAGAAAAAAGAGGGGAGGGATCACAGCATCAGATCCATCCGCTCTCATCCTCGAGGACTGCGTGCCATGTGTTCCTCCGCCCTTGCAGCCAATGTTTATTCCCCTCTTGGAGGAAGATAAGCTCTGCAGATAGCTCTTGATTTATGGAGTATGGCCTTTGGACGGGCCCTAAAAGCACGAACTCCAGAAAGATGTTTCAAAATCTCCCACTGCTTTTTCCTCACAGTAGGATTTGGTGCTCCTGGCCTTCTCTCTGTGCCAGGAAGGTCTCTTGTCTCCACCTGCAACAGCTGCTTTTGGAGTGTGTATTTAAGTGCATCGAGGAGAAGGATTTTTCTCCGGAAAGGCAAACGCACTGCAGCTTGGTTCTCCTCTAGCAAGGCTAGGGAGAGAGCGAGCCCTTGCAG